TTCCTATCCTTACCAGCCTGGAACATATCCCTATCCCTATGCTGGGCACCTCCTCATCACGATGCCAATCTTAGGGATTCCCTTATTTTTTGAGGGCGAATCCCTAAGATTGTCATCCCCTTTTGGCGTGTCAATCGTAAGGATAGGGATAAGTTCGAGGCTGGTAATACCCCCCATTTTCGGCCGACCCGAAGTCAGTAGACGGAGAGGGGGGTCCTGAAAGACGGGGTACCCAACCAGGTCAACATCTCGACATCCGGCTCTCCAGCCGCGAGGGGCCGAGACAGAAGACTGGCGGGGCGATGCCCGGCAACGCGCGCTTCTGGGCCAGGCCAGAATCACCTTTCATACGCAACCGCGTTGAAGGGCAGATGTGCGCATGTGCAACCAGATAATACGGCATGCTACAACGCATGACCTCCAACAGCGGAAGTTGGCAAGCGTAGACCCAAGCTAGTGAGCGTGTGCACTGTGGATGTGCGTGCTAGCTGGTGGAAGGAATGTGGTGCAAGCTGCGTGGTTGAAGCACCGTGGAGCAATCTTAGGTGCAAGCTACGTGCTGGAAGATATGTGGTGGAGCCCATGTGTTAGAAGCTACGAGGTGAGAAAATACGTGGCGCGATTTATGCAATGCAAACAATGCAGTGCCATTCATTTTTGCCAACTCATACACTGCCAACTCCATTGCTCGCGCAAATATCCCCCCTCCCATCCGCAACTTGTTTTAGAAAACCCAAACGGCCGCGATTGCGATGACTGCCTGGCCCTGGCTGGCGCATCTTTGCAGGCGCGCTGGCGCGCGCAAGCTCGCGCGCTCAAAGCGACCAGCTGGTTTGGCACAGCCGATGCGGCCGCGATGGCGCTTACCGATGGCAAATTCCCAGCGCGGCTCAAAGGCCGCGCTGACGCGCTGGCGCTTCAATGCGGGCTGGTGGCTCGGGCGGGCGCGGTGTCACGATGATAACGTCAGCAACGGCGGCAGCCATGACGATAGTAACGATGGTGGTGGCGAGTATGACGATGACGAGGGCAAGTCCACTGATGGCGCCGATGTTCATACGCCAATGACAATGAAATGACCATGTGTCGATGATGAAAATGCTTGGGTGATTGGTGGCAAAGGCGACGATTGCCGGCGACGCTGACGTGATGCGGCGGCCCTGATGAGGGTGATAGTAAGGAAATCTTGTAATCCTGGCAAGCCTTTGGTTGAAACGTCTTGGGTTGTTCACACGTGTTTGAACAGCTCGATCTTGAAATGCTTTGACAACCAACGGTTTGGATAAAAATTCGACACGGTCGCGTGGCGGCGCTAGCGTCTGGCCCGCTAGTCGTGCAGCGTGCGCATGCTGGATCAACGCGGAGCCACCGCGTGGTGAGCTGAGGATGCGGTTTCTGGGCGAGGTTGCAGCAAGAATACGGTGCTCGTAAGATGTCAACACTTACGCGCAATCATAACAGCTGAAAGATTTGTTCAGCGAAAACAATTGTTGTTTTAGGCGTGTGTGTAGAAACCCATGAAACCTGTAATGTGTTTGGTGTGAGTTCGACACGTGCGCGAGCGTGTAGATCATGTGTGGTTATGCAACGGGAGTATTGAAAGATGTATTTTTTGCGATGAACGAACGCGCGCAAAGAAAGTATTTGACAATGGTGACGGGGGGATACCCGACCTGCCAGGGGTGGTATGAGTTGAGAAAACGGACGATGGGGCAGAAACATCTTTAATTTGCAACGTCCCGAGGGGGGGGGCGATAACCTTGGGGGGACAGTCGCAAAACCCCTTCTGTTGAAAAGGGCGGGCGGGCCATGATGACGTCAGCAACGTCGGCAATCATTACGATAGTAACGGTGGTGGTTGCGATTCTGACGATGACGACGACAAGACCAACGACGGCACGGATGCTGGCGACGACGATGGCAATGATGATGCCCATGCGTCGGTGATGAAGGTGGCTGCCTGGTGATAGTGGCCATGGCGGCGATTGGCGATGACGATAGTGGCGGTGAGGCGGTGGCGCTGAGGACGGTGGCGGTGAGGATGTGCGCGCGCGGACATGCAAGACGCCTAAAACGTGCGGTAACCACTTCGGGAACGACCAGTCTGGGATCGACGTTGCCGCACGCGCGTGGCGGCACGCGCGCGCATGGCCCGCACGGTATTATCAGTAGCTGCGGGTCCGCGCACGGGGCGCATCATGGATCAACGCGGGCGCATCGCGAGGCGACGTGAGAATGCGGGTGCTGGACGAGAGTGCTAAACATGTGTTTTTTCACATGCTTCCACAAAAGCGCGCTGATAGAACATCTGCCAGAGTGGTGACGAAGCACCAACGGATTTCCTTGATTGCTGCCGAAATCCGTGCAGGACTGGCGTGGTTGGTCTGGTTTCGACGACATGTGCGCGCGCGTGTACGACTTTGTGTGTGCGTGTGCTTTGTGCATGGGGGCTATTGACCAATGCTAACTTGAGATGAACGAGTACGCGCGCATGGTACCACGTGGCATCGCTGAAGAGTGGGTATCGAGACCAGAAGGAACATGAGCGCTGAGGCAAAATCATTTGAACTCTGCAGTGTCCCAGGGTGGACCGGGAACCCCAGGAGGGGGGGGGGGAGAAAGTCGTAGATTGAAAGGATAATCTTGAAGGGGCCCTGGGACACACAAATAAATACACACAAATACAAAGACTCCCCATATTTTCCCATATTTTCTTGGTTTTTCTCTTCCCCCCCAATTCCCACATGTTCCCATGTTTTCTTGGGAATCGACGATTCCTCGTGTCTGTGTGTTTTCCCCCTCCTGAAATCTGTGCGGCGCAAGAGCTGCGTAGCGCGAGCTCTCCCACCAGCGCCCGGCGCGCCCACGAGACCCCATCCGGCGGCGACTGGGCGCGAGCCCGGGGGCCCAACCCCAGCGCCAGCGCACCGGGGCGCGCACCGAGGCGCCCACGAGGCGGCCGCGAGGCGCGCAGGGGGCGCCCAAGGGGGGGAGACCCAGCCGAAGACTCGCCAAGCGGAGCTTCCCCCCCCCCCAAGGAGCCGAAGCGATGCCGCAATGGTCGCACGTCCAGCACGCTGCTTTCCTCCTCCTCCTCCTCCTCCTCCTCCTCCTCCTCCTCCTCCTCCTCCTCATCCTCCTTTCCTCGAGCTGGAACCGCGGGGGGGCATCACGGAACGCCCGCGCGCGCTCGAGGGGCCGCGCGCCGCCTGCCCCCTGCCCGCACAGCGTGCCAGGCGCCCCCGGGGCGCCCACGGCCGCCGAGGGGCGGTGGCCCAGCGCACACCTGGAAGCCCATGGATCAGGCGTGTTTCGGGGATGGACAGACCCCGCTTTAGTAAAACGTGGTTTAGTGAAAACGACCTGAGGCCCAAACCTGGCGGGCGCAAGTCTGCAAAATAAAGGCCACGGCGCCCTCTCGAGAACCGAAAACGGACAATGCACTAATCGACGTGTCACTGTTGGGGGTTCTGTCCACCCCCGAGTGTTCTGGGAGCCCCATGGTGCGAGCACTGGCTTGGGGAGAGCATCCGTCCGGAACCGCTCCGAGGGGTAGCCACGAGAGGCACTTGGTCTCCGAAACGTGGGCCAAGAAGTGAACGGCCCTTCCAGGACGCTTGAGCGCGTCTCGTGCACGACAGCCAGAGAGTACAGGGGCCACAACCGGCATACCTCTCCCTAAAACCATGGACAGACACGACACTCCAGGAAGCTGAACAAGAACGATCCCCAGGAGTTTGCAACACGCGGCCATCAATGAAGTGTTTGGTTGTGCTGCTCCTCGTGGGTGACCCATCTGGGCAACATCTGAATCCAATTTTGAGGACATCCCCGAGACACAATGAGAAAACCAATCGGGACACCATCGCACATAATCGAGACGAAATCGAAAGCAGCTTGGGACACCATGGTGCCCAAACCGTGGGTAGCACTTGGACACCATCGAACGTCACGCATGACACGTTACACAGAACGTCTATGTCTCCCCTCAGGGGGTGGCAACTGAGCGGCTGTCATGCACACAGCACCGATGACATCTGCAAAGACCCAACCATTTTTTTTGCGGCACGCTTCCATCCAGGGGAGGGGGGGCTGACATGAGAGACGGCGCTTGATGAAACCCTGGATGGTCAGATTGCAGCACACTCCGCAGAGCCCTCGTACGCCTGCCCCGCTGACGTAGGCGAGAGTAAGATGAGTGAGCAGAAACTTGCACACCCGCTCGCAGGTCAGCTGCAAGATGAGTCAGGGCCAGGCCGAGGCGGTCCAGGCTGGGGCGCGCAGTGGAGGCCCCCCAGGCGAATGCAGAAAAACCCACCGCGGGTGACAATTTCGTTTGCAAATGCCAGGTGGCTGGGCCGGTCCGCCGCTTGATTTGGTTGAAACAGTGCCGCAGGTGGGTCGCCGCGCGGGTGGGTCGCGGGCGGGTAGAAAACGGGTTGCGGGGCGGATCCCGATTGGGTGGCGGGGCGGGGCCAACAATACAGCCGGACCTCGGACAGAAGAGCATCCCTCAAAGAGCACGACGACCCTCCGCCGGCCAAAGCACACAGAACATCCAAGGGTACCCTCCCCAGGATGCACAAGAACATCCAGCAAGCACGAAGAGCATCAGGGTACCCTCCCCGAGCCGACCACGATCTTATACCGCGGTCCGGCTGTAAGAATGATAGTGCCAAGAATCCGCACTGCGCTGCCCCGCGCCCAGGCCACGCACCCAGGCCACCTGCGAGGTCGCTCGGCCCCCTCACTCTCGCTCGGGCCTGCCGCCGAAAGCTGAAGGCCAGGAGCTCAATTTGTTTTCAGGGGGCACCCACTCTAGCTCAATCAGGGCGTTCGTGCACCATCCTCCTTGCCTGACGGAGGGTGGAACAGCGCGGGTGCCAACCACAGTACATCCTCCACATGTCGCATCTCTGAGGCGAGCCCGCGGTAGCCAGCAGCATACGCCAATGCCGATGGAGAATTTCGATCCCGATCGAGCGTGACAGCGAGACGAGTGCGACATCCGGCCTCATCAAACAACCAACTCACAGCAGCGGAAGATCCATGCTGCGCAGCCTTGTGCAAGGCATTGTGCCCGTTGCAGTTTACCAACTGCGGGTCGCATCCTCTCTCGTGCAAAAACTTGAGCATCTCCAATGACGAAGACGAGCCGTCCATACGCGCAGCTTTGTGCATGGCGTTGCACCCCCAGCTGTTGAGGTGATGCACGTCTGCCCTGGCCAGCGCCAACAGTCTGCAGACCCCAACGTGGCCCTGCCAAGCTGCAAGCATCAGCGGGGTGTCACCGCCATCGGTCTCGACGTCCACATGGGAATTCCCAACGCGCTGCAACAACCATTGACATGTCGCCTCGTGGCCGTTCCGAGCTGCCCAATGGAGCGCTGAACGACCGTGATGTTTAGCGTTCGTCTTGCCAGGGTCTAAGCCGCACTCCTCTACAAGCCAGCGGCACACAGCAAGATGGCCGGAACCAGCAGCCCAATGCAGGGGACCATTGCCGTGGTGGTCGGCAGCTGCCAGTGGGTCCCAACGGCATTCTGAGACCAGCTGTTGCATGATGTGAAGCTCACCGTCCCTCGCTGCAACGATGCCCGCCTCAAGCTGTCCATGTGGCTGACCGTCGGTCTCCTTTGGTCGCTCTGGCGCTGGCGGTACTGATGCCGAGTCTGCCACGGCGGTCTCGACCAGAACAGCCGCAACGCCTGCTGCATACTCGGGCCTCGAAGCGCTCCGCTCCAGCTGCGGAAGGCTCAGGCCATCATCGCGACATGGCTTCTCGTAGTACTCTGCAGCAGCCAGGTCCAAGCACCTGGTACTGGTAGCGCTCGAGGCGTGCTGCCTCAGAGGGCCTCCAGTGCCGAAGAAGAAGCCGCACCCCCGACACAGGGTGCGGCCGGCCAGGCTCTGAGCGCGCAGGTATGCAGCGGTCGTGATTTGTATGGCGCCTCCAGCTTGGACCATCGAGTGTGCTATGACGGGGGCGCCGCTCTCCTCTTAGGAGGCAACTACTGGGAGGTTCTCGTCGGCAAGATTGAAGGGGAATAAGCCCCATTGGGGGGCTTTTATGCCGGAGTGGGCATTGGATCAAGCTGGATTAGGCGGGATTAAACGGGATTAAGCCGGATAAAGCGGGATTAAGCCAGATTAAGCCCGGATGTCGGACCAGGGCAAAAACAGAATTTGACCTCCCAGGAGTTGCATCCGCTCTCCTCGTCCAGGCGCAGCATTCGCCGCACGACCGCCGAGGCGAGGTCGAACGCCTCCGGGTGCTGCACCGCCGCGCCGACGCCCGCGGCAGCCCGCTTCCACGCGGCCACCGCGGCGCTCGTGACGAGGTCTGCGGTGGCCTGGCCCTTGACCTTGCCGAGAGGCCTCAGGGACCCACGGAAGCCAGGCATGACGGCATCGGCGTGGCCTGGCGCCTCCTCCTCGAGTGCTTGCCGCAGGAAGCTCTCGATGGAGGCGACCTCGGACGGACTGCTCGTGATCGAAGAAGAAGTGGCACTCCGTTTCCCGGTGCCCAGGCCCGCGTCGCCTTCGGCCTTCCTCTTCATGCCCCACGGCAGATCCGGGGTGCTTCGAACCAAGCGCCTTGAGCCAGGCTGCAGGAGCGCCGCCAGAAGGGCGATTGCAGACATAATGCTATATAATGCTATATCTGATCATGGAAAACAACACGATAGACACACGCTCACGCACGCACGACCGCACGGTCACAGGCACACACCCAGAAACATACACACACACACACTCACACACACACACACACACACGCACGCACGCACGCACGCACGCACGCACACACACACACACACACACGCACGCACGCACGCACGCACGCACGCACGCACGCACGCACGCGCACGCACGCACGCACGCACGCACGCACACACACACACACACACACACACACACACACACACACACGCGCGCACACACAAGCACACAAACAAACAAACACACAGACACAGACACAGACCCAGACACAGACACAGACACAGACACAGACACACAGACACACAGACACACAGACACACAAAACGCACACACACACACACAACACACACAACACACACACGTGCACACGCACATCTCATGCAACTGTTGTTAAGCACATGCGTATTAGAACCAGCGACATGATACATACAATGGATCGGCATGGCGATGCAAGTAAGCTGTATACAAAGGAACCTGCAGCTGCAACACAGCAGCTGCAGACTACACGACAGACACGTTAAAAACAACCGAACTCTGGATGGCAGGTAGCATGGAGTGCGCTCCCAAAGCTCTACCTTGTCTCCTGGGAAGGGTGTTGCGCCTACGCCTGCCCCCTCCCTGGGGTCCCAATCTCGGGGGACTACACTAGATCAGGGCGGCGTGTTGTCTCTGAAGCCGAAAACGCTAATCGGAAGCGGTTCATGCCCAATGCTGGCCTGCAGGACGACCCCGAAGGGGAGACGATCTCTAGCACACATCTCCACGGATCCCCAAGATGCCCCCACGACGACCCAAGGCGTCCCCAAAACGCCCCAAGGAGACCCCGAAGACAGCCCAAGGGGCCCCCAAGACGCCCGAGAGGCCTCCAAACAAGCGCAGGGGGCCTTGTTAAAAACTTGCGCGCTCGGGCACGGGGTTCCCCACCCGTCCCCCCTCGAGAGGCTGCTAATAGAGCGGCACGGTCCGAGGGAGCGCCCGAGGCTGCCGAAGAGGCTCCGCAGACGACCGAAGGGCCCCATCAGGGGCATCCAGGAGGCCCCGAACTACCCCCAAGACGCTCAGACAAAAGCACTGGGAGGCCGCAAGAAGGGCACCACAAAGAACCAATTGGGCATCGTTTAACCGACCCCCATCCCCATGAACGTGGCCTGGGCTTGGATGGGGATATGGGCCGTTCCCTTCGGGTTTCGAGGTGTGTGTGACCCAAACTGGGGTGCAAGGATTCTGGGGTCTGGATGGGGATGGGGATGGGGATGGGGATCGTTGAAAGATGCCGACAAATGGTGTGGTGCACACGCTCGTATTCCTCGTGTGCCCCCGCTCCTCCCTCCCCGTCACCCAGCCACACAAGACCTGATATCACTCAAGACCCGACCAGACCGGACTGCACGAGACGCGGACACCATCACCGTCGCCATAACCATATGGAACCATCCCTCGTCCTTGGTTGCCAGCTCTGGGTGCACAGTTTAGTTAAGTCCTCCTCCCCATTCCTCATACTTGTGGCGAAATGCCTCCCAGCTTGTCGCAAGGACACCAATACGCTCCCAGGCCCAAAGGCCTCCCCCCCACAGAGAAAATAAAGGCACGGATGAACTCACACGGAAACGGCTGACGAAAACAACGTACGAAAAATACCGGGCAATGGCGGACAATCAAACGAACCACATGGCGAACAAAAACAGCAATGGACTGGAAACGTCTGCGGCGACCGTGTCGAGCAAGCAAAAGCGACATGCGATTCACCAGTGCCGCAGACGCAGAGGGACGACAGGGAGGGAGACTCCTGGACCCCAGGATTCAAGGTTGGCCTCGCGCGCACCCGCAGAGGGGCACGAGGCATAGGAGCAGGGAACAGTAAACGGCCACCATTGACAACGACGGCGACGACGACGGAAGAAGTCGAACGGAGACGGCGATGGCGATGACGACACGACAGGCGACACGGGAGGAAGGCAGAGAGGAAGGCAGAGAGGAGAGGAGAGGAGAGGGAAAGAAGGATGACGCCAACGACTCCTCCCCCCCCGGCAGGCCCGTGCGCCCGGCGCTGGGGTCCTCAACAGGATGCGCATCACCATGTTGCGGGCCTTGCGCGCGAGGGCGGAAGAGGAAGCGGAGGGAGGGACGAGGAGGAAGCATCGAGGTGGTGGCATGTCCTGAAACGCTCTGGGGGCCCTGGGCAGCTCTCTCAGATTTGGCAGGGTTCCAAAAGCCAAGAGTGAAAAAAAGGCAGGCTCCGGATAAGAGGGAAAAGAGGCAGGCTCCAGATTTGGCAGGGTTCCAAGAGTGAAAAAAGGCAGGCTCCGGATAACGCACAGTAGAAGCGCGAGGAGGACAGCGACGGGGTTGCTGAGGCCGGCAGCAAGGGTGCCCTGCGCGTCGTGCAGGAGCAGATGCCCAGCGGGCCTCATTGAAGCAAGAAACCAGCGCGCTCCTCCGCTCCAAGACCAACAAAGTGGCGCCACGTACAGGAAGGCGGCCAATGCCCTCCCAGAAGCAACAGCCGAGTTCTTGGCCAGAGCTGCTGGCCGGCACGAGCAGCCTCGGACCGTAAACAGTCCTGCTGTCATGGATCTGGCCAGACCTGCCTGCAGGGAGCGCCCAACACTCGCCATCCCTCGGACGTCCGTTCCCCTTTAATCGTTCGATTTCGTGCGTTTATTTCTTTCGCAAGATGATCCAACATGCTCCCCGACGGCCCTCGCCGAGACCAAATGCACACGGCAACGCCAAGATCAAGCCAAAGCGCGACCGGGCTCTTCCGGTTAGGACTCTAACGAGGGGGGGCGATGCCATCTCGGTACGCTTACGGCCCCTCGAAGTGTCAAAGGAACTTTCACCGCGCCGCTTAATGCGTACCAGGCGATGGTGACGGCATGGCCTCGCCCCTGGGAGCCAAGACCGCAGCGGGTGCCGCGGGCAGGCGGAGGCAGCCAAGGAGACGGCGACGGCAGCACCGAGGCGGCGCGGATGGGCACCACCGGGCACGGGAGCAGGCGGCAAAGCGGGGCCGCAGCAGCGGCTCGGCATGGGCGCGTGTAGCAGCATGAGGAGGTTGGAGTGCGCTCATGTCTGACTCTCCACGCATCCACTCAGCCTCAAGACGGGCACAGAGCATCCCACAGACACCTGTCGGATATGAGCCTGGGCGGCAAACATCATACATGGCACATGTTTTACAATGTCTACGTATACATACATATATCTATCAATATGTATATATATATATGTACCAGACTCATGTGCAGATCGATGTCTAGCCACTGGAAAACTAAACCAATTATGACGGGATGTAATGGTAGGCGCACATTGCTGCGCCGACCCATTGCCCGACCCGTTGTGGGCGTTCCCTGACTAACAGCGTATCGCTTCGATTGCCGCGGCCTCGCCAAGGACATATCCTTGTCACTTGCTCCTCGCATCCGCATCCTCTCGTTGGCTGTAGCCCGAATGTGTCACTTCCACGGCGTTGGACATTAAGTTCTCATGCTGTAAATTGCATCGCATCCCCCTTGAATGTTTGGAGCTCCGACAGACTCCCCGAACTCGCTCCATCTCTCTCTCTATATATATATATATATATTCCCCTGCGTTCTCCAAGTCCCTCTCTCTCTCTTTCTCTCGCTGCCCCTCTCTCCCTCTCTCTCTCTCTCTCTATCGCTCTCTCTCTCTCTATCTCCTCTCCTCTCCTCTACCCTCCCCTCCCGCAGCCAACCTTCCCGCTGCACGGCAAGACTGTCCCGATCACTCCGCACCTCGTCCTGGAGAGCACTTGCTCGGGGCTCGGGGGGGCCTTCTTGCCCTCGCCGTTGTACGGGTGCTCGGGAAGCTGTGCGGGCCGCGGTCGACAGTGCAAGTAGAGAGACAAAAGAACTGGCAAATACAAGCCTCACACGGATATGCTCTTTATTTGCCACGTACCAGCGCAAGATCCACACACACACACACACACTACTCGCCGCCAGCGCTACACTTACATGTTACAACATATGAAAATCTGTAGCCCCCACTCCAATGCCATGAGCTCTGCTGAAGACGATGACGCGGCTCCATTGAGCGGCTTGCCCGACACGGTGAGAAATTGTCTCTTCGTAAAGGCAAACCGCGCCCCTCCAGCGCTGCCTCCGCGCTCAATGCTGGAAATTGTCCTGACTCGGATACGCCACGTGGGGGCTCCTCGGAAGAGCCCTGTGGACTCCCAAGGCCACCTGGGCAAATGGACCGTCTCAGGCTCCTTCCCGCCCCCATCCGGAAGCGCCTGCACCCACACTGGGGGCTCACAGGACCTTCTCGGAGCCTCTGGAGCGCCCCTCGAGGCAAGGACATCTTGGAGGCCCTTGTGACCAGCAGAGCGTCAACGCGGAGACCGCTGAACACGCAGCATGTGTTCGCTCGGCTCCCGCTGCTTACACTCGGCTGGTGTTCAATCCATGCGGGGCCATCCTGTATCATCTGGCGGCCACATTGGATTGGAGCTATATGCGACGTTGGGCGCCCGAGTTATCCGGGGTAACTCGGGCCCGGGGTAACTCGGGTTTGGATTCCCGAAAAACGAACCCGAGTTAGCCCTGACCCGAATTATCCCTGATGGTTTGGGCCCGAGTTATCCGGGGTAACTCGGGCCCGGGGTTACTCGGGTTCCGAATCCCGAAAAGCGAACCCGAGGTATAGCCCTGACCCG